AAACAGAGTTTGTAAAAGTTTTTCTTTATCACTTTCAGTTTGTCAACTGAATTGCTTGAGGAGAAGCAATGGATTAAGCTTGGGGGAGTTGATATGTCTCCATCGCATCTAATTTTCCACACTTTTTTGCCCTTGTTTTGGACTCTAATTTGCGTGATTTGAATGGAACTAACCCAGACTGACGTTGTTTCGGCAGAATTGCCATGGTGTAATTTTTGTGCAGAAATAAAAGTTCTAGGAATGGCCTGAAACTTCACGGAATTTATTTGGAATATATAAAAAATATTGGCAAAAGAATCAACCAGAGAGGACCCACACCCTGTCCACAAGGGTGGGAGGCACGCCCTACCCCCCTGGGACACGCCCCCTGTCTTGTGGGTCCCACGAAGCTCCACCGACCTCAACTCCAAACTCCATATATTCACGTTTGGGGAGAAAAAGGTCAGGGAGAAGGATTGATCGCGTTTTATGATACGGAGCCGCCGCCACCTCCTGTTCTTCCTCGGGAGGGCAGATCTGGAGTCCGTTTTGGGCTCCGGAGAGGGGAAATCGTCGTCGACGTCATCATCAACCATCCTCCATCACCAATTTCATGATGCTCACCGCCGTGCGTGAGTAATCCCATCATAGGCTTACTAGACGGTGATGGGTTGGCTAAGATTTACCATGTAATCGAGTTTGTTTTGTTTGGGTTTGGTCCCCAGTATCCACTATGTTCTAAGATTGATGTTGCTATGACTTTGCTATGCTTAATGCTCGTCACTAGAGCCCGAGTGCCATGATTTCAGATCTGAACCTATTATGCTTTCATGAATATATTTGTGTTCTTGATCCTATCTTGCAAGTTATAGTCACCTACTACGTGTTATGATCCGGGAACCCCAGAGTGACAATAGTCGGCACACTTCCCAGTGATGACCGTAGTATGAGGAGTTCGCTAATGCTTTGGACCGGTTCTCTATTATAAGGATGCCTTAATATCCCTTAGTTTCCAATAGGACCCAACTGACACGGGAGGGTAGGACAAAACATGTCATGCAAGTTCTTTTCCATAAGCACATATGACTATAATCGGAATACATGCCTACATTATATTGATGAATTGGAGCTAGTTCTGGGTCACCCTAGGTTATGACTGCTACATGATGAATGCCATCCGACATAATTATCCATCATTGATCCATTGGCTACGAGCTTTTCACATATTGATCTTTGCTCAGTTACTTCTTCATTGCCACTGTTACAATTGCTACAAAACTTCTACTGTTACTTTTGCCACCGTTACCGTTACTTCCAAACTACTTTGTTACTAAATACTTTGTTGCAGATATTAAGTCTTTTAGGTGTGGTTGAATTTACAACTTAGCTGCTAATACTTGAGAATATTATTTGGCTCCCCTTGTGTCGAATCAATAAATTTGGGTTGAATACTCTATCCTCAAAAAGGTTGTGATCCCCTATACTTGTGGGTTATCAGTCACCTTCAAAGTCCCCCACGTTCTCTCGATTTTACTCCACTATGACCTGTCAGCAGGTGCTCTCAACTTCCCGTCTTTCTTACGGTCCTCTTTGTGCCATCACATCAACTTGGCATGCTCTTTGTTTCTGAACAAACATTTCAACCGTGGTATTATAGGAGCATACCACATCACCTTCGCAGGAACCCTCTTCCTGAGGCGCTTGCCTTCAACATCACCAGGGTCATCTCGTCTGATCTTATAACACAATGCACCGCATACCAGGCATGCGTTCAAATCCCCGTACACACTGTGGTAGAGGATGCAGTCTTCTGCACCTGCAATCCTAGTGCGCATAGAACCTTCTTTTCTTCGTATGTACTTTCGGGCAATTCGTTATCCTTTGGAAGCTTCTTCTTCAATATTTTTAGTAGCTTATCAAATCCGTTGTCAGATACACCATTGTCTGCCTTCCATTGCAGCAATTCCAGTGTGGTACCGAGATTTGTGTTGTCATCTTCACAATTTGGGTACAACCTTTTTTGTGATCCTCTAGCATGCGATCGAACTTCAACTTCTCCCTTTCACTTTGGCTATGTCTCTTTGCATCAACAATGACCTGGCGAAGATCATCATCGGGCACATCGTCTGCTTCCTCTTGATCTTCAGCTTCCCGCTTTGCAACATCACCGTATTCACGGGGCGGATAGTTGTCATCATCCTCTTCTTCTTTGTTGTCTTCCATTATAACCCCTATTTGTCCGTGCTTTGTCCAAACATTATAGTGTGGCATGAAACCCTTCTCAAGCAGGTGGATGTGAAGGGTTTTTGAGACAGAGTAAGACTTCATATTTCCACAGATAGGGCATGGACAAGACATAAAACCATTCTGCTTGCTTGCCTCAGCCACTTCGAGAAAGTTATGCACACCCTTAATGTACTCGGGGGTGCGTCTGTCACCGTACATCCATTGTCGATTCATCTGCGTGCATTATATATAATTAAGTGTGTCAAAAACCATTACACAACATTATGAATAGAGAAGTGACCAAATTAATAGAAGTTCATCATCACATTAAAACCAAAGTACAGTAGTGATCAAATGTTATTACTGAAAAAATAAATACATAAAGTTCATACATAGTTCTCATTGAACAACATATAGCTCTCTAGAGCATCTAATTAAAACATACATTAAAAATATGTAAAACATTTAAATGCAACAAAAAATGCAATCATAATCGCAACTAGGGTAACAATTGATCCAATGGCATAATGATACCAAGCCTCAGTATGAATGGCATATTTTCTAATCTTCAAGCGCATTGCATCCATCTTGATCTTGGGATCATCAACGATATCCGCAACATGCAACTCCAATTTCATATTTTCCTCCTCAATTCTTTTCAATTTTTTATTCAAGTAATTATTTTTGCTTTCAACTAAATTTAACCTCTCGATAAGAGGGTCGGTTGGAACTTCCGGTTCACATACCTCCTAGATAAAAACATCTATGTCATGTTGGTCGGCATAATTGTCATAAACACTAACTGAAACAAATAGTTATAAAAGATAATACCACATTCGAATCATAGACAGGACTGGGGCCGACGGGGGCGGATACCAAAACCATCGCACTATATAATAACAAACAATAATGAAATTAAGAAAATTATACAAGTATCTATCTAAATCATACAAGTAAGAATTTTTTTTCTTTTAGAAAGAAGATAAGAACAAGAGGCTCACCATGGTGGTGTCTGCCGAGATCGGCACGGGGGAACGACGGCGGTGAGGACGGGGGCGGGACAGGCTGGACCGGCAAATCTAGACAAATCTTGAGGAAAATAGAGCTTGGACAAGGAGCTTGGAGAGGAGAAAGTTTCGCCAAAACAATAGAGCAGTGGCTCTGTTCGCGGGCAGGGGCGGGGGTATATATAGGCTTTCTCTTTAGTCACGTTTTGTGGCTAAAACCGGGACTAAAGGACAACATTTGGTCCCGGTTCCAGCCACCAACCGGGACTAAAGGTGCTGGGCCAGGAGCGAGGACCATTGGTCCCGGTTCGTGTCTGGAACCAGGACCAAAGGGGTCAGACGAACCGGGACCAATGGCCCCCGAGGCCCGGCCGACGCCCCGGCCTCACGAACCGGGACTGATGCACCCTTTGGTCCTAGTTCGTGAGTGAACCGGGATTAATGCCCTTATCGTGGCCTCAACCAAAGCCATGTTTTCTACTATTCTGAGTTAGTATGATTTTTTTTATGAAGTTTTCAAAGGGATGGTCAAATGGTGAAAGGGCAAAAGCATAAGAGGAGCGAAATGGCTTTGACAGAACCAAGGGTTTTTGAAAATTAGGGATAAAATTGCAGGGTGGGACACAACTAAAGACACCAAATTAATTATCATTTTTTGGTATTTATGATTTCAAAACAAAATTGATACAATCTCAATTGTTGCAAGGAAACCATTTAGAAGGTTGAGGATGTATATGATTAAGGCAGTGATGGTTTTATCTACGAAAATTGCAAATTCCTCGCATCCAAGTACATGTAATTTACTTTGATTATTCGATAGCATAAAACAGAAGGGATTTTGTTAGTAGCAAGTATTGTCGAGCGGTGATTGTCCGCACAATCCATAGCGCCTAAGATCTAGATGATTGGCTCCAATTTCTCTGTATTGGACATGTGGATTGTCCACACAATCCACAATCATTTATCGGATGTCCCCGAAGGGACAATCGACAATCATTTAGAAGGTTGCACCGGCGGGGTAGACAACGTACGGTGACTCCATGGTTGACGTCCGTCTTTATTACCTAGAAAAAAGAAAGAAGAAAAACATTGGAGTCCTATGGTTCCTGTTCAAGTGGGCCATCAATGCATGGCCCGAGGTAGTATTGGTTTTCGTTTGTGTGGATGCACCGGATTCCTAACACGATCTTGAATTGGCGCTAGGTTCCTTCCACCAAGTCGGTGCCGTTTATTTGGAAAAAATTGTCAAAGACCCAAACAAAATACTATGGCTAAGAAATAAATAATACTCACGGAGGGAGTACTAAATACTGTGACTAAGAAATAAATTAATACTGTGGCTTTGATTTTGCGTTGGCGGTAAGCGTCTTTCCGCCACCTCTGCGGGCTTTTCTTATACAATTAAAAATAAAAATAAAAAGCACTTCCGCCACTAGGGTTGGTCTTTCCGCCATCGCTCTTAGATGAAATATAATGTGAATGCAATCTCATGCAACACCCTAAATCATCGATTGAGTTTTGAACAAAGTTCACTGCAGTAAATTAGAAAACATTACATAAATCTTGAGTTTGAACCGGTTCCATTTCATGAAATTAAACTACATTACATAAAATCTAACTGATCTGGCCCACACACGGGCATCAGGTTTGAAGCACGAACAACATTCATCCTAATCTAGTAGTACTGATCTTGCCCACATGCGAGCATCAGTTTTGAAGCACGAACGAAATTAAATTAAACTAGGAAACGTCTAATTAGGTCTCAAACTCAATACTGAATGCACAACATCAATCCTGGCTAATGGCTACCCAAGCAAAGAAGACATGCACAGCTGTTGAAACAGCTCCCACAATCACGAAGGTGAAGATCTCCGCAGGACCCCTCACGCAATGCAGCTTTATCTGTAGGGAGGAGTAGAATGCCAAAGACGCGATCACCGCGGCCCCGAAAGAGCAACCCACAGCCAAGAGAAAAGCCCCACGCACAAAGATTTTCCACCACCCATCAAGGCGAGCAATACCTTCCTTTGGCAGTGCGAACAGAGCCTTGTCGGTGGCGTCCGTCAACTCGACCTTGAGAGTATGCACCTCCCTCTCTGGAGAGACGGGATCCTGGTCTTCTACGGCGTCCTCCCGTAGGTCGACGCCGGGGACTAGACGGTTGTCCGGCGCATCATCGATCCGCTTGAGGTTGTTCTCCTCGGCGGTTTGGAGCGCGTTCTTGACCCGCTCCACCTCCTCCCATGCGGCCTTGTAGTACGCGTCCTCCTTGGCGGCCACGCGCTCGTGATCCTTGGATGCCGCCTCGGCGACAGCCCGGACGAACGCCATCAGCAGCAAGGAGGTTAGTATGAGGCTAACTAGATAACGCAGGAGAATGGAGATGTTGCGCTGCAATGCATCTACGTCGCAAGTACTAGCATGGGAGGGAGGACTAGGGCTGGGGGCTGTGGAAGATGCATGGGTGGAGTCAAAGCTAGTGAGTGCAAGAACTAGCACAAACATGGGAAAACCTACTCCAAGAAACCAGCAGAAAATCTCAGCGGCCTTGAGAAAAATGTGAGCAAAGGACTTGGAGATCTTTGCCATTGTGCTACGCTTGTTTTTGCTGTGGATGCTTGCTGTGCTACAATACTAGTCGGTAGGTCTTTATATAGGGGAGAGGCACTTGCATTGCACGGAGAGGCCCGTTGATGTCTGTGTGGCTCCACAAAATGGAACACAATGAATTCTCGTTCATGATTTGACCACCGACGGACATGCGCAAGTGGACATGAGCTAGCGGACAAGGAGCCCGAGCCTAGCCTCACGGGGCCGGAGATGAGGGCGTAGCCTGACGAGGCCACGCAGAGGCCGTATATTTTAAATAACTGTCTATAACATGCACCCTCGTTGTAATTCTTACAACAATCTCCATCAAGTGAGAGAAAAGAAGTCATATGTTAATGATAGTAAATACTCTAAGTCGTAACTTATGTCTTTAACCAGGCTACTAAGCGTGGTAAAATGGTCATATCACATGTCTTTTACAACGCTTAGGCATCGTTTAAAAGTTTGATGTATACCCTTCCTTCAACGCTTTGCCCAGTGTGGTACCGACCCCACTAAATGTGGTAAAATGGTTTAACTTTCAATCTCGTGCATGTCAAACCTAAGCGCACAGGAGTGTATTTTCCTCCTTGATTTTTTTTTAAATATCAATCTATAACATGCGTCCTCATTCTGATTCTTACAACAATCTTCTATCAAGTTACAAGTTACTATATGTTGGGAAAAATAATCTAAAATTACAATACACAAACAGATTTTACCATTTTACTACAGTTGATGTGCTTGCTACTACACCACACGGTGGGATGGAAGAAGGTATACTAGCTAGTCGTACTTGATAAGCTTGATCTCAAAAACACACCGTACTTGCAATACTTTCTATTGCGCAGACCCGACACATTTCCATTCTCATGAATATTGACCAGCATGCCAACGGGCAACACCTGCACAAGCAAACGAGAGACATACAGGAGTAGGAAGGGGCCTATCCAGCAGCTATTTCTTGTAGCATCCTGACTCTATAGCTGCATGCGAGGCAAAGGCCGGAGTTAATTAAAGCAGTCAACAGGACGGTGGAAAGTAACTGCCTTTTTTTCAATCCAATGGTGAAAACCGATTATGTGCACAACCACATGAAAGAAAGGTTCAAGCCGGCCAAAACCGCAAGGTGAATGGCACAGTAAAATATCTGAATTGATGGCGCAGTAATTTTTCAACTGATTGTTCGGACGAGAGATTTTCCTGCATGTCCAACTTCTAACGCTTCCATTATCGTCTTCATCTTGATTACTCCAGAGAACTAAACGGAAAATCTTGTAATTTTATTGCCTCGGCCTTGCAAATCCGAAGATCGTTTACATGCGAGACATTTTATGATGTGCACGTCCAAAGCAGATACAAGCATATTTTTGCCCTCTGACTGCAGCAAATTAACAACAATCGCACGGATGACGGAAAATAAAATACCGGTTATACACACGCCAACCGCCACCCTGAAACTTCCGACCGCCTCACCGTCTCTCTCGCCCACCGCCGCCCATAAGGGAGGGGGGGGGCATTACAGTAATAAAAAATTATAAAGTTTAATAATAAAATATATTATTTAATTTTGAAAAAAGAGGAGAGGGGCATGCGATATGGCTCTGATACAGTTTTAGTTAATTAATATTAATTTTATATTATGCGCGAAAATAATTACTTAGGCACATGAATTTCGATTGTTGACTTGTGAACATTATTTTGGGAACTAAAAATGCATTCTAGCTAGGGGAATGTTGTGTGGTATCTCTACTCCTAAAAAGGAACTTGGTAGGCTGGTACACACGGTTTATATTATGCGCAATAATAATTACTTAGGCACATGATTTTGTATTGTTGACTTGTGAACATTATGTTGTGAACTAAAACAAGCATTTTTGGTAGGGGAATGTTGTGTGGTATCTCTACTCCTAAATGTGGACTTGGTAGGCCAGTACACACGGTTTAATTTCACCTCCACCTCCGACCACCATCCTTTCATGCTGGTTTTTGGTACTTGCTTTGGTAGGTGCCAATTCAATTCAATCATGTAAATATTATGAATTAAGAATTCATAACTTGCACCATATATATGAGATCACCTTCCTAAAATAGGGATAAAAAGACATCAATTAGAGAGGAAATTTATTCCATGCTTATATTTGGTAGGACATCATTTACACGTAATTATGTGATGACATTGACGTTAAAAAAGTGAATTTATGGTACGGTAAATTTTTATTCTCAATTGCCGATCGTTCGCATGAGAGATTTTTCCACATGTCCAACTTTTAAGAGTGTCTACAGTCGGGCTCCCCAAACCCGTTTCAAAAGCCCGGGCGAACGGCCCGGTCATTAATCGGTCAATTTTTTTTGACCCAAACAGGTGCCTCAAACCGGCCTCAAACGCTCGGGCTGACCAGCTCCCCTTATATCTGTAGCGTAGCGCAGCTGAAAATAAAAAAATTCGACCTACACACTAGCCCAGGACCAGTATATGAAGATGCATATAAGGTTTGATCTAATTGTTACCCACTCAAAGCGCAACGGAAGGAGGGTCGGTGGAGATCGTCGGTGCAGGTCCCACCAGCTAGGATTTGACAACCTACCAACCGTTCTTCCTCATACAGTCCCTCAGGTGGTCCCTCGGACAACCCCTCGGGAAGCCCTCTGATGGAAACTAGATCAGTCCCTCGGACAGCCCTTCGGGAGGCACATGGTCAGATCCTCAGACAGAACCTTAGCATATCTCTTGAACTAAGATCGAAATTACAACCTCTCTACCGGGCTTCACCATCCAGAACTAGGCCCTACCAAAGACTAGACAGCCTTCCGGCTCTATGAAACTATTTCATGTGAGGGAGAAAGAGAGATGGCAAATCATGCATGCCTTGTCTTTTCGAGAGATTGAGTGAAATGGAGAGCTCTCCCCACCTCTATTTATAGTAGGAGGCAAGGGGCAGAGGGCACTTGAAAATACCAAAAATTCCTTGGATATTTTCCACCCAAAAGCCGGCAAAAGTGGGAAGAAGCCCCTTGGGTGGGGCCCACACACCATGGACGGTTTGGGCTGCCACAAAGGGGCCATCACCTCCACAAAACATGCTCCAAACTTTAGGGACTAAGATCCAAAAGGTGGCTTTGAAATAAAGCCACCAAACATGGCAATAGTGTTGCCTACATCATCCCACGATTCATGGGATCTTGTCCCCTCAGACTAGGACAAGACGACCATTTAATCTAGAAAAATCTCGAAGGTCCATAACATTTCTGGCACCTCCTAAAATAATTCTAGAAGAATTCCGAAACATTTTTGGTATGATGTTTTTATCTCCGAAACACTTCCGGTGACCTTGATACATTTCCGGTTTTCTCTCTGAAACTTTTCCTATCGTCTCCGAAACTTTTCGGGGGGAAATCTTTCTCACTTCCTATCTATTACTTAGCAGATAAATGACCCTTAAGTATGTGACCATATAGGTTTGCTGAAGTATAGACATGAAAGGAACTCTTTCCGATCATTGGTCAATAGCGGAACCGTGGACATCCATATTGACCCCTATACCCACACAAATGAATATTCGAGTGAACTTATACTTGTTGTGTGATATTCCTCTTGCTTTCCGATATGTTACAAACACCCGAGGTGAGATTTATCGGCAACCCCGTTGATCAACAACTTTGTCCACTATGTCAGTATCCTCGTTACTGGTTTTGTTCTCTTTTCTTGTTTTCACGTTCTGGCATCCTTGGGATCAAATCAAATTGTGTCTAGCCAGAAGATGATGGATATCGTAACACCGAGAGGGCTCAAAGAATATCTCTCCATCACCTGAGGAGCAAATCCAAATTTGAGCTATCTAGTTCCTTGTCATACTTTTCCATGAACCTGTGAGCCACCTTAATAGCCACCCTTTTAGGGATGACATTTAACAAACCCCAAAGTTCATGAAGCAAGCATGAAGGAACTCTATACTCTCATGGTCTAAGGAATTATGCAAACGTTGACTTTCTCTATGTTATTTACCATTAACTAATGACGAATATATCTCATAGCATAACACCGGGTCAATTCAACAGAAGTTTTTTTCTAACATTGTGACCACAAAGTTGCCGGCATAGACATGCCCATGATCAGGAAAACATAATCTTCATGCAACACTTGATCTAGTCTTAAAGGTACGACTAGGAATACATTTCACCGTTTACTATTCCACATGTGCATCTGAGTTTTCCTCTGAGCCTTGTGGTTATTGTGGACTCCAGAACCATAGCGGTTATAGCATGGAACATAAACATAATTACTAAAATGGAGATAAATGATATGTCCATTTTGCATCATGTTTTCCTACTGTTAGTTATAATTTTTTTAAGCACAATATTGCTTTTTGGAGTAATTCTAATGCCTTTTCTCTCATAATATGCAAGGTCTACACAAAGAGGGAGAATGTCGGTAGCTGGAATTCTGGACCTGAAAAAGCTACATCAGAGTTACCTATTCTGCACATGTCCAAATGAGCTGAAAATTTACGAAGAATTGTTTTGGAATATAAAAAAATACTGGACCAAATAACTACTCGAGGGGCCCACCCTGGTGAGCACAAGACACCAGGGCATGCCTGGGCCCCCAGACGCGCCCTAGTGAGTTGTGCCCTCCTCAGACCACCTCTGGTGCCCATCTTCTGGTATATAGGCATTTTGACATAGAATAAAAATCAAGGTGGGACTTTCGGGACGAAGCGCCACCGTCTCGAGGCAGATCTTTGGCAGGAGCACTTTTGCCCTCTAGCAGAATGATTCAGTCGGTGGAACTTCCCTCTAGAAGGGGGAAACCATCGCATTGTCATCACCAACAACCCTCTCATCTTTGGGAGGGCAATCTCCATCACCATGTTCAACAACACCATCTCCCCTCAAACCCTAGTTCATCTCTTGTGCTAGAACCTCAGATTGGTACACGTGGGTGACTAGTAGTGTTGATTACTTCTTGTAGTTGATTACTATATGGTTTATTTGGTGGA